AAGCTGTGTGACAATGATTTCTGTACATTTACCTTTATTTTCTGGATCCAACTGTAGCCAAGGTTGGGTTCTTCCTGAAGAACAGCCAACCCACAATCTGAATGCTGCCAGCTTTGCCACCACAGTCTGCCTTGTTATCATACAGGACTGTTGAGTCCAAACCAATAGGAAGCACGCCCCAAGGTGTGACCCCCCAATTAAAGAGTCCTTTCGCTTCCTTCCTGCCCAGCACATAGAAAGTTGTGGTGCGCTTGTGTGTGGTGCCTGCTGCCAGAGCGCGTGCAGGGTGCGAATGTTACGCTCACTCCATCTGCAAGTGTTATAATGAGTTATTCAAAGCGCTTCACACAGGACCAACCAGAGCGTGCCTCCCTCTCCGTTCCAGCGCGTTTTCCTGCCCATCAGATGGATGCTCCTCTGCTGGAGTCTTTGGAAGGTTCTGGTGTCTTTTGTTTTAATTGGCGGGCTAAAGCTGCCTCCTATGGTGCAGTTTTCATTAGTGAAGGCTGCAGAGAGGGAGTGTTGGGGCTGTCCTCCAAGCCCATCCATGAATATTAAACATAAGACAATTATAGCTTTCAGACCAATTATTTTTCTTTCAGCAGGCAAAGTTGGTGATACTCACTAGATGAGGGTCCGCAGTTTCTACCATTGGCCCCTTCTTGTCCCTGGAACCAGTCAACCTGGCATGTCTCTGCCCATTTGCTGGGCTACCTGTTTCCCAGAATGGAGTGGCTCTGCCAGGGCATGCTGCATTTGGGGTTGGTACTGCACTCTGTCAGATGCTCTGGGCTGATACCTGCTTCCTAATGTGAATTTGATGGCTTGGGTGGACAGGATACTGCAGTATGTGCAATTCTGTCTGAGATAAGAAGCCAGATGTCTCCTTAAGATGTCAGAAAACTGTCCATCCTTCTCCACAGACTGGTTTCTGTTTCCCTAGTGAACATGAGCTGCTCTCTCTGGTGTTTGTTGTCTTCATTTGGCACCACTATGCCACTGTTTAAACACACTAGATAAACAGACGGCAAACTTTGAACTACTGGACCAAACGTGTTTGCCCATGTGTCCTTAGCAGCCACACTGTAAAATGAGGGGCTCTTGATAGACTTGACTAGCCAGCATGCACTCCACCCCCATCTGTTTCGAGTGCCCATGCTGGGCTCCGGCCTGAGGCTCTTTCCTGGGTGCCCAACAGCCTTGGGTCTCTTGACCTACAGAGGCCCAAAGACAGGCAGCTGTGTGCACTTAGAAGACTCCCTCTCTGGAGACTGGGAATGAGTGGCACTGGTAGCCATAGGCCTGCCATCTTGCCGTGTGGCCTTGATTCTGCATCTCAAGACTGTGATTGGCTGGCTGGCTTGTTGCTTTGTTGATGGTGGTAGTGTGTTTTTATAACAGGTTTTCTTGTACCCCAGGCTGATCTTGAACTTGCTTTGTTGTAGCCTTGTAGTAAAGAATGACCTTGATCTCTTGGTCCTTCTGCCTTTATCTTCCTGGTGCTAGGATTTTAGACTGTACCACAATGCCCAACTAATGTTCCACATTGTAACTACTTCACACTAGCTAAGAAACAGGTACACCATCTGAAACAAATCAGGTGTGTGCATTTGTGCACACCAGAGTGGAGCTGATACACTCTGAGGCCTGAGTTTTAAACAGCATAGTCATGTCTGGAATAAAGCAAAAACCTCCCTTGAGCCTCTGACTGTAACCCCACCTCTCCTCCCAAGGAGCTGCTGTTAGCATTTAACTTGTGAACTGTGCTTCTGGGAAGCATGCTCTGTTCCTGAAAGCTAGGGCAATAAGGGCCTCTGTGCAGCCCTATGACAGCTACTTATCCTCTCCCCCACCACACACACCCCTGGCTCATACTTCAGGAGGACTGGCCCGTGGCCCCTCTGCAAATGCTGCAGAGCCATGTCCCCTGCTCCTACTTATGCTCCTGAGGGAAGGTAGATCTCTGAATGTCTGCCCCATGCTTCACTGTTGGCCACAGTGACTTATGCCATCCCCATGCAGTCGTTCAGATTCATGGCATCTCTAATGCCACCTCTGCTCTCCCTGTCTGTCTAACAATCGCTCCGCAACAGGCAACCCCTTCTCCCCCAGGCTACTGAAGACTTGCTCATATGCTCCCATTTTTTAAATGACAGCTTCCATATGTTTTTATTGTGATCAGTGTTCACTAGCAAAAACCCCAGGGCATTGCCAGCCCGCTTTTCTCCAGGACCTTCCATAGGGGTGATGGCGCTGCCCTCCACGGCCCTCGATGCTGTGTTTCTTCTTGCCTTCTCATGAAGCTCATGTTCAGGGTCTTATAGATGAATGGATGTTTTAAAGTGGGAGTCAAGGTGTTCCAAGGCCCCTCACTGCTGCAGTGTGGACTGAGGGCAGCAGCCTCACCCCTCCCACAGCTGTTCAGCTCTGAGTCTAAAAGCTCTTCAATTCTGCAGGGCAGTGAAAAGGCAGCTCCCCTGAGCCCAGCAGAGCAGTTCAAGGGTGTTAGCATTGTTGTTTGTTTTCACCACATTAAGTGGTGTGTGGTGGGACGATGCCCAAGCTGTCTGAAACCAAGGCCCTAACCCTGTCCTGTGTTGTGGATCAGGGCGAGCCCTTAAGAGCCTGAGTTTTCCTTACTATATTAGTCATGTTTTCTCATTTTTGTGACAAAAACAACTTGAGTTTATTTTGGGTCCAGGGTTTGAAAGTATGGTCCATCAAGGTGGAGAGTCATGGTGGCCCGAATGTGTCCACTCTCTGGAAACACCCCAGCAGGAGTCCCTTGTAAGCCATTCCAGCCTAGCCCTTGCACTGGGGTACTCCAGCTCAGTTCCTGCAGAGCGGTTTTTGTGTGCACCAGCCATGAGTCTCACCACCAGACCAGGGTCTGCAGAGTGTAACAGGTTCTATCTTTGCTGAAGAGACGTGATAAAGGAGCAGCATCTGGTTTTATTTCTTACGACCAGCAGACTTGGACAAGATGTGCTCAACAGGCACTCCTTGAGTGAAGCTGTTCTCGCCTTTTTTCTCACCGTGAGTCGTGGGTTATCTTCACTGTTAGCTTGGAGGAACCGGTTATGAGGGGGCCTCTGCTGTAGACTCCCATCTATCAGTTCAAATACTTGTATAATCTTCTCAGGGTGTCTTGTGGGATTATGTTTAAGAAACCCCCCACACACACACACACCTTTTTCTTGTTTGAAACAAGGCCTTGCTACGTAGCACAGGCCAGCCTCAAACTCTCAGCAGTCCTGCCTCAGCTGCCTGAGTAAACCCAGAAATGTCCCCAGTTAGGTAAGAGCTCTACCACCAAGCTACATTCCAGGCACATATATATTTGACACAGAGTGTCACCAAGCTGTTGAGGCTGGGCTGGAACTTACAATCCTCCTGCATCAGCTCTGAGTTGAAGAAACACAGCATACTGACATTAACTGCTATCATAAAACTGAAATCCACTTAAGATCATTTGGTGCACACAGAGGCTAGAAGGCGGCACTGGAGTTATGCGTGTTTGTGGACTGTCTGATGTGGATGCTAGGAACCAAACTGGGGTCCTCTCCAAGAGCAATGCATGCTTTTAAATGTGGAATCATCTCTCCAGCCCCTTGACTGTGTTTCTTACAGTTAGTGGTTGTTTATACAAAATGTAGCTATTGGCTCTGGAGAGGTAGCTCAGCATTCTTCCAGAGGACCCAGGTCCAATTTCCAGCACCCACATGGCAACTAGCAACTGTAACTCCATTTCCAGAGGATTTGGTGGCCGCCTCTGCCTTCTGCAGGCACTGCACACATGTAGTACACACATACAGTTTTTTAAGGTAGTTGCTGAGGTAGGCATATTAATGTGGATAAATTGCTCTGTTTCTCTTAGTGGCCTTCCTGATCTTAATTGCACTCATCATTTTTAACAATGGGGAGGAGCGGTGCAATAGTGCCAGGCTGTTTTGAGGCATCCCGTTAGAGCAGGTTTCCTTCTATGTGCAGTGCATTATAGCTCAGCTAGTCTCCAGGGGCATCCCAGGGTCCTGTCGATGAGGAGGCTCAAGGTTGTGTGCCTGATGTTAGCTGTGCCGACAGACTCCCTCCCTGGCTTCTGCCTCTGTCAGAGTCCTGGAGGCAGCTGCCCCTTACATGTCTGGCCAGCCCTTGCCTGTTGCTCTTTATAACTTAATCTATTTGGTTTTTCTGTTCTTTCCTCGAAAGTCATTTATTAGTCTTAATTTTCAGTTTTGGAGATTAAAAAAAAAAAAAAAAAGAAAAGAAACAGAGAAGCTGGAGGTTATAGAGCCCAGGGAATCAGAATTTTGAAATCTACAAAAACCCTGTGTTTAAAAAGGAAGTTAGGCCAAGTGGTGGTGGTGCACACCTTTAATCCCAGCACTCGGGAGGCAGAGGCAGGAGGATCTCTGTGAGTTCGAGACCAGCCTGGTCTACAAGAGCTAGTTCCAGGACAGTCTCCAAAGCCACAGAGAAACCCTGTCTCAGAAAATAAATAAATAAATAAAAATAAAAAGGAAGTTAGGTCCCTGTAGCTTTGATTTCCCCCAGGCAGGCTTACCAAACATTTACTAAAACTTGTTCTGAAATCCAACTTTTCCAGCACAGAACTGCAATATCCATCTTCGTTCTCTGCACATGTCAGGTTTGATCCATGATTGTCCTATGTGCACCTGGGGACCACACACTAATAGGCAGCTGCTCACTTGGAGCAAAGGGCCAGTTTCCACGATGCCCTTCAGATCTGGGGAGTGAGAATGGTCTTGAGGGATTAAAATAATTCCCGGGACCCTGGAAGCAGTGAGTGTGTATACCTTGTGAATTGAGTTTGGGATAGCATATGCTCTCTCTCTACCTTGCCAGGGCTTTCGTCAGGGTTATCTGATCATAAGACAAAGTGTCTGTCCTACTGTAGATGTTCAGGACCACACAGCTGAAGCTGGGGCTGCAGGGTTTGTCACTAACCCCTCTTCCTGGTGTTCTTTTGGGTCTTCCAGAGTCCGGCTCCATGACCTCCGCAGCGACAAAATTGCCCTGTCACTGTCTGCCCATCAGCTGGGGGTGTCCGCAGTCCAGATGGATGACTGGAAGATTGTCAGTGGGGGAGAGGAAGGGCTGGTGTCTGTGTGGGATTACCGCATGAGCCAGAAGCTGTGGGAGGTGCACTCCAGGTGAGCTGTCCCTGCTGTGTGTGGCCTGTGGGAGGTGTGCTGCTGGCTCCTGCTGTGTGTGTGGGGGGGTGGGGGGGACTGGGGTTGATGGAGTGTTTCCCAGGCTACCTGTCCCCATGCTGCCACCTTCCTAAAAGCAACTTTGAAGGAGAGGAGACCTGGGCTTGAAAAGACCAATTGTGAGACTTCAGCTCCTGGCTTCCCATTAATACTGCCCTGAGGAACATGTGGCCTCACTGAGTGTCCTGGATTCTCAGGGTGGAGTCAACTTTTCACAACTGTGCTGATTACTGTAGATCTTTTCACCTTAATTGCCAGGAAAAGAAGGAAGCCAGCTTGGTGAGACTAATTTCCAGTGTGCAGGTGGGTATGGGTTGGCAGACTCAGTGTGTCCAAGTATGTGGCCTGCACCTTCCTTCCCTATGAAGAAGGGCACGGAGTGTGTGAGTTAAGTGAGCGCCAGCTAAGGGGAGCTCATCTAGCCTTGAGCAGGAGAGGCTCTGTGACTGGTGACTGCTGGCAGAATTGTTCATGTGAGCCTGCCTCAGTTCTGAATTTAGAAGCAGCCTGGAACTCCTACCAGCTCATGTGCTTTCAGTAGGAGAGCCTGTCCAGAGTCCTGTCTAGCTGAGTTTTGGCCCCTCTGTAAAGGTGCTCAGCCTATGACTATGACAGATGCAAAATCAACTCCTTCTGCCTTCATTAAGTGCAGAGTCGATGGCTTTGCAAACACTCCCAAAGGTAGCAAACAGAAATTTGTTTCTTGGCCTGTAGAGTGGTGAATTCTTTGGCCAGCAGCTTTTATCAGACTAGAAAAATCCCAGTGGTCTCACTTAACTTCCATGGTGATGCACCATGATGCCACCAGGTGTCGCCAAAGGGCAGCTCAAACTCCCATCCAGTAGCATTTGCCCAAATTTCAGGAAAGCCAGTATTGGTTTGTAAAGAGCAGATTCTCTGTGCCTCCAGGAGCCCATGCAGGCTTCCCACACCCAGAAGATCTTTTCCCCACTCGGGGGAGATCCAGGAAGTGAGGCCTTCTCTTGTAAGTGTCCAGGCCATCTGCCAAGCTGTTCCGGCTACTGTCTGACCACCCATCCTCAGCCTGCCTTCCCTCACCAAGTCTCTCTCCTGTATGCACTTCCCATTGTTCTCTAGCCAGAAGGCCTGTTCCTGCTTCCTCCCTGGTAGCCTCAGTCAGCCCCACTTGAGGTAGCAAGGAACTCCTTCCTGCAAAGGTGAGGTGGGCACCTTACCTTCTGGCTGGTTTTGAGCCTCTGAGGGCAAGCGACTTGACTCTGTTGTCCCCAGCTCACAGCATGGCTGTCAGTTGTAGCCGTCACTTCAGGACTGAGGCCTCACTCAGGTGGCTTGTTGAGTCTCTATGCCATGTTGCTGGTTTGTCTCAAGTTGAAACACCTTATATCCCCAAAGCACCACTTGTTGAAGGAGTCTGCTGGAATGTACATAGAGTGTCAGAGAAAGGCCTTTTACGTGCCTGCTTTGAGAGCTGAGGCTGGCCTCCAGTTCTTCTCCATAGTGGAAAGTGTACCTAGAAGTTCTGCTGTGCACAGCTGGCGCAGGCCACGCTCCAGCCTTACAGTGTTCTTTCCCCACTGCTCCAGGCACCCTGTGCGTCACATCTCCTTCAATAGTCACAGCCTCATCACCGCCAATGTGCCCTACGAGAAAGTGGTGCGGAACTCCGACCTGGACAACTTTGCCTGTCACAGGAGGTCAGTTGAGGGGTTGGACACATCCTGAAACATGCTTAACATGGTTTCATCAGTACCCCCCCCACACACACTCCATCCCCAGTCACATGCTCCTCTCAGGGTATCAACCATGGGCCCTGTTTTTTTGTAGAACTTGGGAACACAGTGGCTGCTATAGACCAGAAGCAGGTACTGAGTGTCTGTCTGGGGCATCCTGCAGCTGCTCCTGACATCTGGGGCACGGTGTCAGCTAGACAGTAAGGCTGGGCCTCAGTGTCCTGCATATCTGACACTGTGGGCTCAAAGCACACACTATCACAGTGGAGAGGTAGCCTAGACTCTGCATGCCTCTTGCCACACCAGCCTTGCTGACTGCTGCTTCTCTGTGTTTCCTCTAGACATCGTGGCCTGATCCATGCCTATGAGTTTGCAGTGGACCAGCTGGCCTTTCAGAGCTCTCTTTCTGTCTGCCGCTTCCCCTGTGACACCATGGCTGGGTACAGCTATGACCTAGCACTTTCTTTCCCCTATGACAGTGTTTAGGGCGTCACCTTATGGAGAAGTGGGAAGAGCCAGTTTTACAAATGTCAGAGCTGCAGGGAAGATCTGCAGCACAGAGTGGAATTTGGGGATAGTGCCCCCTCTCAGGTGGCCTATGGCCACACAGCCTTGCTGCCTCTGAAACCACCTATAGAGAGTCTGCTCCCATTTAGGGCTTTGGGAGCACCTGCTGATGACTCCGAGTTAGCCTTTCCCAAAGCGCTCCTCCACCGCAGCCTATGACAGGAGAGACACCCCTCCCTCCCTCCTTCCACACGCTAGTCCCCTGTGTGTGGTGCTGAGGATGGCCAGAGCCTCACACATGCAGGCAAGCACTCAGAGTGGTCTCCTGACCCCACCCTGTCCAGCCCTCCTCTGTGGTTTTCACACAGTTCATCATTGTAGCCCCTTACCTGTGTGAGGACTGCTCCATTTCACTTGCTGCTCTGTCCGGTACATGGACTACCAAGGAACCAACCCTCCTTCCCTGGGGAGGACAGGGCCACTCCATAGGGGTGGGCTTGGAGCCTCAGCTCCTGAGCGTGGCTGGTGGCACCACTTCCCTCAGCACCCCAAAAGCAGCCGCAGTCAGTGCTCTTGACAGATACCCACTCTGCCTGCAGAACGGCACGGGCACACCCACACACAGTGGCCAGGAGACCTAGTCAGTGAAAACATTTGGGTAGACATGCAGAGCTCTTCAGAATTCCTGTGGACCAGGCACCTAACACCTGTACAGAGATCCACAACATCAGGCAGAGTCCCTATCTCAGCCAATGCCAACTCAGAAAAAAAAAAAAAATCAGGTGGACCAGGCCACTCCACAGTGGGTTCTGCAGAGGGCAAAAAAGTGGCAGGGGGAGCTTCGTGCTCTGGAGACCAAGGTAGCTAAACAAAAGAAAAAAAAAAAAAAAAAAAAAAAAAAAAAAAAAAAAAAAAAAAAAAAAGGTGCTAAAGGGGTTGAGAGGGCTTGCATCTCCAGAGGGAGGTGGACCCACCTCTAAGCCAGGGTAATACTGAGAGCAGCAGCCACCCTCCCTGACCGACCCCTCCCCCCCAGCAGTAGAGCCTCACTGTACTCCAGCCTTGTTTCCCAGTGCTGGGCATGGAACCTGGGGCCCCGTGTGTGCTAGGCAAGTGCTCTGTCACTGAGATACTACCTGGTTTTGTGGCATGAAGGTTTCTCAGCTTAAGACATTCAGAGGCCTCAGACATCCAAGGTCTAGCAGGACAGGCGCACAGAGCCAGCTGCAACTGGGCAAGGCTTCCATGCAGGCTCCTCCCTCCCGAGGGGGACTTTGAACCACACTGCAGAGTGCCAGCAGGTGGCAGCTCACCTCCCTCCTGCTGGGCTGATGGCCCCCACTGGCTTGGTCTCAAGCTTTCCCAGGCCTGCATCTGGGCCCCAGGGGAAACTTGACTTCTCCATCAGCACCATGAAAGGACATCCAAGAGCTTTGAGAGCAGATACAGAGGTGACTGGAGTGAAGACAGAAGCATGGCTGGCAACTAGGGTAGCTTCAAGCATACCCTGCCCTTGCCCCTTAGGAAAAGCACTTGGGGACACAGTTCCTCACACAGCAGCTCTGGTTGTTTTCTGTCAGCTCAGCCTCCTGAGAGACACACACCACCCCCCACCCCCAGCCCAGCAACAGACCTACCCAGAGATCTGTCCCTACTGACTTCTGGGGTTGCTGCCACTGTACCCACCAGCAGGGTAGGAGACAAGTGGTCTCCCTTAGCTGCCTCGAAAGCCTGGAGGCACCAGGACACACCCCTGAGAACCAGAGGTGTCCGCACACCCGCAGCTTGCCTTTTGCCTTACGCAGCCATGTCTGCTCTGTTATTAAATATTCTGGACTCACTCGTGGCCTTGTTATCTGCTCCTGCGAGGATGCACAGTGCTGACCCCTGGCCCCTTGTTAAATCTTCCTCCATGGTTCATCATCACAGCTGGGAGGGGGTGCAACATGACAGCATACAAGGCAGGGTCTGGGGAGTATGTGGTCATCTTTGGCTGGGCTTGCTGCTGTTGTGACTGGGCTGGTTGTCCTTGCAGGCCATGAGCAGCTTGCTTATCCTGAAGCCCATACAGCAGTTCCCATGAAAAGATGGTCTCGAGTTTCAGCTGAGCAATAGAATTACCAATCTTTCCCAGCAGTGGGGTTTCCATTCTTCCTGAACTGGAAATCCCAGAGACAATCCCAGACACAACCCCAGGACGAAGTACTTAGTTCCCTCCCTAGGCTCACATCCTCTCCAGGAGAGGGTGGCACGCCCCAGTCCACTTGTTAAATGGCAATGGCAACACCACAAGTTGTGAACCACCTCTCCTGGTGAGGGGGCTTTCAGGTGACAATTGCCCTAAGATAGTGGTTCTGACAGGGACACTGCTCCTGGTGAGTTCTTGCTTGAAGCAGCAGATGGCATGGGCCGTGGCATTGTGGCCACACATCCAAGCCAGATGGTTACCTGGCTAAGGCTACTGTGGCAGGCCTGCGGCGACTTGGCCAGCACAGCCTGTGTGTGCTGTGGCAGATTCCCTCCTGGGCACCAGCCCGCCTCTGATGTTGCCTATTGCTTTGCACTAGGGAACTTCACCCTGGAAAGGGAAAGGAACTCCAGCCCGTGCCCAGCTGAGCCTTGCTGTCACAGGTGCCCTTCCCAGGACACACAGCCCTCAGCCTCACTACCCACTGCAGGGGCCATTGGAGTGGCACCACTTCCCTGTGAAGACAAGCCTACCCCTTGCTGGCTTGGCGTCACTGTTGCCACCCTGCCCTAGCTGGAGTTCTGAGCCCTCCTTTGGCTGTGTTCCCGCACCAAGCCCTGTTGACATTTAGCCAGCCCATGGCAGAGGCAGACAAAGGTGCTGCTGATGCCATGGAAAGTGGCCTGGTTTCAGCACTGGCTCTTCAAGGTCACGGCATGCAAGGACAACCTTTATGGCAGGTGTTTGCCAAACCTCAAGGTGACTTGCGTTTCTGCCTCTCCGTACACCCACTTGGGCCACTTCCAGCACAGCAGACCTTAGCCTGGTCAACTGCAGGCAGGTGGGGACAGGATCCAGGGTCAGAACCAAGGGTCTGCCCTCTGCCATGAGCACAACCAGAGCCTAGTGGTTTTGTTCAAGTGTTGAAGAACCTGCTTCCCCACAAGGGGTCAGTGTTCTGGTGGAAGTTCCACCTCAATACCCCTCTTCCATATACAGCTCTCTCCCTCTCCCGCCCCCGCCCCCGCCTCATCCCAGAAAGCCTGGCAAACAGGGCTTTTCCCCCAGAGATGCTCAAGATCACTTCCCCCAAAAGCAGACATGTGGTTTTTTGGTCACTCTTTCAGGGCCATGCAGGGGGCAGACAATCACCTGAGAGCATTTTGCCCATTAAATGTGGGCTTTTTTTAATTCAGTTTGATTTGGATTGCTGTGTCAGTGGAGAGGCTTACTGGGATGCAGAAACTTTCAGTCAGAACCGCAGGCTGCTCTGATCTCGCTCTGTCCCTTCCCATAATTCATTTGTCACGAGGCTGCGGGTATCCATCAAGAAAAAAAAGCCAACTTTGTAAGTGGAGCACAGTGACTTCTTCTTGTTACCCCCCTCCCCCCACTCAGGAGGCTGAGACAGGAGGATTTCAAGTTTGAGGCCCGCTCTAGAAACAGAAACCAAGTTGGTAACAGGGCAGTAATACAAAGCTAGATCTCACTTGACTGCTGTAGAATAGAGAGCACCCCAGACTTCTGCCCAGGTGTGGACCCCGCTCCACCCACAGCCCCTTGGCCTCACAGCCCCTGCTCATCAGCACCCTCAGACATCTGGCTTCAGGTTCCACCAGGTTAGTCACCACAGTTCCTGATGAAGATCACTAACCGTATGCTTGATGGATTGCACACACTCACCTGTCTGAAAATAAATCTCGGCACATAACCTGCTTCATTTCATGCTGCTGGCTGAGGCACCTCATCTGGCTCATGTCCCCATACCGGAGGCCTGGCTGCATTGGGGCAGGGTAGATACCCTGAGCGGTCCTGCAGGTAACAATCCATCTGCTTCCTCCCTGACCTGCAGAGCACGAAGTCCACATGGCAGGACTGCCCAGGGCAATGACCCGCAGCTCCTGTTGCTCCAAGGCCAGAAGCCCCATGAGATACCAAGGAATTAGCCTGCACTGCCTCCTGGAGCAGGTTTATGTCAGTTCATGGTCCTTATCCTGCCTGGCTGCGGCAGAGCATGCCGGGAGCCGAGTGGTAGTACTCCAGGTAAGTTCTGCAGTGGAAATAGGGCCTGGCCTAGCCTGGTCCTGGCGATTGTGAACAAATGAGCTTGCTTCTGTGCCTGGAGGACTGTGCTCCCAGTGAGTCAATCTCATTTTAATTAGCTGTTTGGATTAGCCAGGCCCAGGGCTTCAAAGACATTAGCAGGCCCCTCAGCGGGCAGCACACACAAGCAAGCGCAAGCATGTTTGATACGCGTCCATCACAGCCGCATCTTTCTGAATAGAACTCCAGGAAAGGGCCGAGGGAAGGCAATCCATTATTTATGAAAACATTGTACATTCATGAACTGCCTTTGTTGAGAAGGACACACAACTGAAACAAATTGGGAGAGTCTCAGGAAACCCAGGCCTGTGAGATGCCAAGGTTATGGCTGCCCACTGAGCCTGCAGCCCCTACTACTCACTCACCATGGCAGGGAGCACCAGCAAGCCCGGGGAGCCAAGTTACAGATGCTCCGTGCCTCATGTCCCCAGGCTGACCTGCTGGCTTTCTAGAAGCCTAGAGCCAGAAACATAGAGGCCAGGAGGCACCCGAGTTGGGGGTTGGGAGGAGGCAGCATTGTAGGGTTCTCCCTGAAGCTGACAGGGTCTGCTTGGCTCTGAGCAGGGAGGCTGGAGCCCCTACATCTGTTCCTGCCTGCTGCTTTGTCAGGCCTTTGCCAGACAGAGACCTGCGTTCAGAGGCACAGCCCTGGCAATGCCTTCGGACCTCTGTCTTCACCAGTCCAGAGATGAGCGGTGGTGATGGGTGGCCCTGTGGTCCAGCATCAGTCACAGGCCCAACACATTCAGGCCAGCTTTGCCTGCCAAGTACTTGTTCAGAGCACTTGAAGACCCCTCAGCTCCTCACCTATATGGTACAACACAGCAACCAAACTAGTCACCCCCCATGCGCGCGCACACACAGAGCAGCGGTCCTAACATACTCCCCTGAGCATAGTCTGCATGTCCCTATAATTCGTCACTCAGTGTTTTGCTTTTAAACATAAAAGACTAATTTGAACCTCATCCTCAGCAGTAGCCTGGGACTCCCTTATGTGTCATTGAGTTACCGCCCCTCCCCCCATACGTGTTAAATAGGAGAATACTTAGTGAGGAGAAGACTAACTCAGCACTTAGTACCTCCTCAGACAGCTTGCTCGGGGACAGCAACATGAAGGGACCTATAGAAGAAGCCACTCAATCTGGCACGTCACCATGGAGACACAGCCTGCCATCAGCCATGACAAGCGCCCACAGGCACAGAGTAGGCTGCTAGGGTTTGTTCAGGCATGAGTCACCGTCCCCTGAGCAGCAGCAGGATAGTTGTACTAGTAACGACACCATTATTTTACCAAACCGACAGAACTAAAATGCATGTACCAGGCCAGCAGGATGGCTCGGGCAGTAGGAGCATTTGCTGCAAGAGCCTGATGGCTTGAGCTTGATCCCCAGACCCCATGTAAAAAATAAGATAAAGATGGGTGCAGGGCTGATAAAACAGTTCAGTTCCCAGCACATCAGGCAGCTCACAACTGCCCAGAACTCAAGCTCCAGGACATCTGTCTGATGCACTCTCTTGGCTTGGAGTACCCACCCTCGTGTACAAACATGGGCATATACATTTTTTTTAAATCTGAACATGGTAGCCTACATCTGTAATCCCAGGGCTCATGTGGAATGGAAGGTTGAAATGGGACAGTTGCCCAGAATCCTGGGAACCCGCTGGCCTGGAGTACACAGCAGATAGATTGGGAGAGGCCCTGCCTCAATATGGTGGAAGGCTAGAACTGACTCCCATTGTCCTCTGATCTCCACATACACACCATAGCATATGAACACCCATGCTCACACATCACTCACACTAGTAACAACAACAACTGGAGGGGTGGCTTGGTGATAAGGACACTTGTACCATGAGAACCAGAGTTTGGGTCTTGGTGCCTACATAACAAATCAGGTGTCCTTCCTCCCAGCACCTCTGACTCCAGTTCCAAAGGATCGAGCCCCTCCTCTAGCCGACATGCACTCCCATGCACACCAATAACAAAAACTTAAGAGAAACAAACATCTATAGCCACATCCACCTGCTCATGCATGAGGAGGATATGGAAGGGAAACTACAGCGGGGGACAGAGTGAAGACACCACAGACACCTTCTGTAGCCCTTAGGGCCTGGAACTACACAAACGAGACTGAGAATGCTCACTGTTGAGACTGTGAACAAGAAACCTAACTAAGCATGCCAACAAACAGCAGGTGCCAGCCTCCCAGAGAACTTTCTGGAGTCTAGGAAGGCACCTCCCAGTGTCAACAAAGGGAACAAACCATCCTGAAACAGGCCGACCTGGAGAGCAAACACCAGCCAGCCACGAGACGTGAGGACTGCAGCCAGGACAGCAGTTACAGGTGGTCTCACCACCAGATACGCTTCAGCTCTCCTGGCCCCACCTCCACCCATTCTGAAATGAGAGGTGACAAGCAGAGCTGTCTGAGCTCCTCACCTGCAGTAGGTACCTCAGGTCTTCACTACTGCCTGTGCTGGGAACTGGGGTATCTTGGGCTTGCAGCTGGATCCATGGTATCAGGAGGAACTGTAGCATCCCCTGCTGCAGACATCTACCATCAGGAGCTGGCAGCAGCAGCCAGCCAAACATGATGGCGCTGAGAATGCCCCATCACCTATGGTCCAGGTCTTCTGGAAGCCTGCCCAGACAGACAGGCTCTTCCAGGCTTCCCCCGGGGTGGAGACCACAGGTAGATGCCTAGTCCTTCAAGAAGAAAACAGTGGCACACGAGGACCAACAGACAGGACATCCATCGGTCCTTCCTCACCAATCTCTGCCCACTCCTTAGAATCAGCCTCATGTCACCAAGGCCCCGGTTCCTTTAAGGGATATGATGGACAGACAGGGATGCCAGGCTCTTTAGGAAACCTTTATTGTCACCATTAGAGAAAAAAACAGCAGAATCCCTCACACCACACCCCTCTGGAAGGACAAGCAAAGGGAGGGGCACAGACTGTCACAGCAGCTTAGGCAAAGGGCTGAACAACAGGCCTTGGCCACTCCCAGCTTCCCATCCCCCCCCCCCTTGCACGGTCTGTGGCGGTGGGTCAGTGGCAGAGAGCGATGGTCTCCATGTTGAGGAAGCGGATGTGCATCTTGGTCTCGATGTCTATCCCTTGCCAGATCTAGAACGGAGGGAGTGGCATCAGGAGGCATCCCCACCACTGCCTGACACTTGCCTGAGCCAGGTCCTCGGCCTTCCCACCCGCCTTCCTCTGCCACTGGCTGAACCACTTGGCCAATGAGAAGCAGGATGGGTTCCAAGGCTGTGAGCTAAGCAAGGGACAACTCCCATCTCTCTCTTCCGGTTACTCTGGTTCTTGCGAGTTAGGATGGAATCCTGAATCCAAGCTCCTTGATGGATGGGCTCTTCGATCTTACCCACACACCCCAACGGGCTCAGTTCCGTGCCAATGACAGCCTCCTTTTCCTCAGTGTCATTCCAGGGTTGCCCAACCATGCTTTCCCCTTTCCAGACTCAGATCGGGCCAGCCCCATCCACAGAGCACTAATGTAAACTTTTAGGAGCCGTTACATGGTAGGCTCCATTAGACAGCCATCATTAAATAACCCACCAGTGTGGTCACCATAACCTCTGAGGGATAAGGGGTCCAGCTGCTTCAAACTTGTGCTCAGGTAGAGAAATTTGTATGGAGTAACAATGCTGTAGACTGTCAACCCTGGCCACTTAGGGCCTGGACATTCAGTTCACAAGGCCATTGGCCTACAGGACAAAGCCTTGTTCCTCCCAAGATCACCTTCTCCTGTTCCTGGGCAATTAACAATTGGGGGGCACAAGTGGGGAGTCAGGATGACAGTAGGGACAGAGGAACCTAATATAGGCAAGTGACATGTCTCTGTGATGTTGAAATGCCACACTGCCAAGCTGTCACCCAGCATCTATAGAGATGCCTCGTGGGCTTCCCGGGGTAAGGTAGGCCTTGGAACTAGGCTTCCACTGTCCCCTGTACTGGTCCTGTGGGGACATGGAAACAGTTCCATTTCACATTGAGCAGCCCCAATGGTTGGGAGTTTGAGAAAGATCCCAGACTCCATGATGAATTCAGCTAAGTTCTGGGAGAGGGCACAGTCATTGGGGGCACCAGAAAGGACAGAGAAGGGTAGCTAACTTCTGAAGAACCATGGAGAAAGCAGCAGGGTTGGTTTGTCACACCAAGATTCTTACTGCAGCCCAGGCTGGCTTCAAACTCCAGATGCCCCTGCCTCAGCCTCCCCGGTGCTAAGATTGCACTGGTGGTACCTCCATACCTCGCTCAAAGCTACTGCGCCCTCTTCCTCAATACTCCTTCCACCCCTGTTATTCGGCATGGTGTACCTTGGTAAACAGGTCCCGGCACAAGCCTGTGCAAATCCACACACTAGTAGCTCCTGGCCTCCCCGCCACACACCCCTCTCCAGCCTTGGGTATGGCCCTCTGACAGTGACAAGGGTAGGTGCTGACCTGTCTCCTTCACTGAGAGATGGGGGTTATGCTGCCTGTCTGTGGGGCAGAAGGCCTGCAGTCGGCCTCCCTTGGGTGGACAGAGGGGCAGACTTAGAGGACAGTGTCCAGCCCTGGCTCTGCAAATAGAACCTTTCATGCTGGGAGGCTAGACTGGGAGCTCATAGGTAACTCCTGTGTCCCGACCTCCTTGCCCACCCTCCATGCCCAGAAGGCCTGGGAGAGATGGTTTTAGCATTTTCTTCTGCTGCTTCCAGATAACTTGGTCATCGCAGCAGCCAGGAGCCAACCTTAACTCCCATCCCTAGAGTGTGGTTGTGACAGTAAAGACTGTCCACCAGATGGGTGCAGATGCCATCACAAGAGGGAAGACAGGCAAGTGGGTGGCCACTTAAAACTCCCATCAGGACACACTAAGGAGGCAGGGCTCAGCAACATGTCTTCTCCAGTCTGCTTGCAGAATGCTGGTGTCCGTCTAGGTGCAGGAAGTTTCCAGAATCTTCCAGAATCCTTGTTGTACTGTGAAAAGTGACTGCTCCTAGGAAGGGCGCCAGTGTCCCAAGGGAGAGAAATTCCCATCTACCTGTATGCTGCTGAGGTCAGGGACACTACCCTTTCCACAAAGCCAAGTGTATCAGTTTATATGGTTTCCAAGGCCTTCTTATAGAACAGCCCTGGTGGGAACTTGGGATCTGCCAACAGCCACAGCTCCACAAAGTCCTCATGGTGTCCTGGAACCCCCATGCCCAGACCCTTCTGTGTTTTCCCCCTGGCACCCACCTTCAGGAAGTCCTCAAAGGTGATCCCCTCATACACTTGGTCCGGTTCCTGAGGACAAGATTATAGAGGGAGAGGGAGTGAGTGTGTCCACAACCAAGGCTAGTCTTCTGGAACCCCAACAGTGGCTGAGGCTTCATCCCAATAGGGTCCCCCAGGAGAGTGTGGGGGATGGTGAACCCTCAGGCATGGGCCCTCCTTCCCAGTACAACCCACCTCACCCTGTCCCTAAATGTCCAGCCACCAAGATACTTCCTGTCAGCCTGGGTCCTGTTTCAGCTCCCTCTACAGATAACAGAACTATTCTGGGCTAATCTACGCTCACAGCCCACTAGGGGGAAGGAGAAGGGAATGGAAGGCCCCCTGTGGCCACCCTCGTGCCAATGAGTCACTATGATAACCAGGGAGCAGGGGACAGAGTGTGGCTTCAGTCAGGGGCCTAGCATATTTGACAAAGCAAGTCTCCAGCTGTGTTCTTCCTAATGTAGGGACAGAAGGGATGGTATCAGGGCTCTGCCCAGGCCAGTGGAAAACTAGGGGTTTTTATGACGTATTTTCTGAAGCTAAGAAACCCTAAAAGAACATTGACCGGTGCCCCCTGAACTGCTGAACAAGCCTCCAAAACACCCCACCCAGCATCCTCCAGTAGGGTGAACATTATAGTACCCCAAAGACCCCTGTTGGGTACTCAGAGTCCCCTGACTGCCCCAGAGTTTTTCACCAGGATTCAGCCCTTCATGGCTACCAAGCGGCTAGCTCTTCTCAGCCGAAAAGAAATAGGAACCCACAAGGAGCATGTGGAAGTGTCACCAGCCCCTTTCTGCCCTTTGGACAGATGTCTGCCAGGGGGAAGGAAGGCCATATCCACTCAAGGCTGCCTGGTGAAACTGCAAGTAGAGTCAGGGGCTAGGCTGGAGCTCAGAGGTACAGCCTGAGCTTAGCATGCATGGGGCACTAGGTTCAAATCCCAGACCCCCCAAAATACAAGTGACACAACACAACAAAACAGCAAAGGCACACATGTGGTATGTTCACTGGCACTGTAGTAGGGGGAAAGCCCCCAAGGGTGGTTCCCTACAGGGCAGGGCCTCGAGAGGACCTGGTTGTTTCTGGGAGCAAGGGTCAATGTTCTTTTAGGGTTTCTTTGCTTCATAAAAATTTTCATAAAACCCTCAGTTTTCCACTGACCTGGGCCTGCCTTGTCCCCAGGGGCTCTTCCTCTCTGTTCCTCCCTTGCATGGGGAGAGAGAAGTGGCCACCCTCTCCTCCAGGGCACCACGCTCCCAGGCTGGGTGAGGAGAGCTAATTATAGACTCGGCCCCACTGTGAGAAGTCCAGCAGGAGGGTGGTGCTGGCAAGGACAGGAGCTGGGAGGTGGCAAGCCCAGGATGGAGCATAACTCAGCAGCCCCTCCCTCTGCCCACCAAGATCCCTGCACAGACACGGTCTTAAAGAGTCACCGCCCAATGCAATGAGTAGCTTTGGAAGGACATCAAAGCAAGGACAGTGACTGGTGAAAGGGCTTTGGTGAGTGGTGCGGTGGGAAGCACTAACCATCATTGAAAACCAGTGGCCACCCTGACCCGCAGCTCAACCTGAGTTGGGTCTGCCTTGCTCTGGCTGATACATAGCGTGGGCTCCATAGATGGACACACATGCCAGGTTCCCTGGTGGCTCTGTCCCCACCCTACTGGGGATCTGCACTGGTGAAGTCTCCACTTGGGAGGCAGGTGCCAGCTGCCAACAATTTTACCACAGCAAATTAAGAAAAGTCGCCAATTGAAAGTGGGGTGGGATGGGGACTCATTTAGAGGAGAGAGTAATTAAACCAAATGGATGTTTGGCTCTGCCCCAGTTACAAGGGGGAGCCCTGTTCTCCACCGGGTCAGGGCCCTTCCCTGAGGGGGTTCACATGCAAAGTGTGGTGGATTTACTGGGGCTAGTTGCCTGTCTGAGGGAAGCACAGATAAACAAGCCAGGAGGATCCCCAGTGACAGGCAAGGGGCACAGAGGACAGGATCCAACAACCAACATAAAGCTGCCTCTGCTCTGAAGCTATTGTCAACACGGGTGCAAGGAAACCAGAGCTTGCTGGAAGCCCGGCTGTGGAGGTGGCCATCTACCCACCCTAGTTGTTCCCAGGGCTGCTGGGCTGCACCCCACCCTGTAAGAGAGACCCCCAGCCAGGGAAGATCACAGCCCCACAGAATCTTTTTGCTGAGCCTCAATTTCCCCACTGGTAGAATGAGGCCAAAACCATGAAACGGTGTGCATATAGGGCCGAGCTCCACTCCATCCCTTGGCTGCCCCCCAACACAAAGGAAAGGTACTGAGCCTGCTGTCTAGGCCCGAGAAACTTCCACTTCTCTAATGGAAGTGAGGATGCTCCTAGGGCACTGTGCTCCGCCACGCTGCCCACAGGTTTAAGGGAGGCCACGGTGGCACCAACTAGACTGTGAGCTCTGCTTCTCTATATCTCACAGCTCTCCAGAGCTGCAGTCTCTTGGGGGAAGGAAGAGCCTGCAATAGGTTCTGACCTCTGCTCCATGCCAGGCCCTGGTTAGAGCAGCAAGCAGGGCATACCTGGCTCCTGCCACTAAGACCTTCAAGAATCGCAGGATGCCAACCACGGGAAAGGCAATGTGGAGCCGCAGAATGGGGGGGGCGGATCTGTTGGCAGAGTCCTGCTCTCCCCCCTTCCTTCCCTCTACCCTAAGGAGTGCTCACCATTTGCCCCACGCACACACTGGCCGCCTCCATCATGGCTCCATCTGCAATGGATCGAGCTGACTCCTTCTCGATGTGAGGGTTTCCAGAAAGCAGCTCCTCCACCACCTGCCAGTGGGGCAGACACTTGGTGACCTTGGGTCTCCACGATGGTCCGAGGAAGGGGAGGCGCCAGGAGCCCTGGGCAGGGCCAAGAGAGCATACTTTACATTTCTATATTCTTCCAGGGTGATGCGGCCATCGCTGTCGGAGTCATACATATGGAACAGAACTGTGGGCAGCAGTGGAGGTAGGAGCCTGTTAGGTGAAGCCAGGAGCGGAGCCTGTGTCCCCTTCTCCCTCAGGCTCCTGCTCTGAAGTTACACCAAACTGAACACAAGACACTGTGGTAAGAACTAGATGCCAAAGCCATAGTTAGGGCAGAAAGGTGCAGGCCACGAGCGCTAACTGGCCTCTTCCTAGTGGGGTGCCTTGCACCAGTGACCTTTCATAAGCCTTGGTTTCCCATCTATAAAACAGGAGTTGCAGGCATCACCTGCCACCACCACTACACTTCGGACATGTGACAAGGCTGGACATCTCATGAGCACAAAGTTAATTGGGTGTTAACTTAAAATGCCAGGTCCCTTAGCTGGGTGGTGGTAGCGCACGCCTTTAATCCCAGCACTTGGGAGGCAAAGGCAGGCAGATCTCTGTGAGTCTGAGGCCAGCCTGGTCTACAAGGCGAGTTCCAGGACAACCTCCAAAGCAATACAGAGAAACCCTGCCTCGAAAAACCAAAAAAGAAAGAAAGAAAAAAAGCCAGGTCCCAAGCCGCACTGCCCACATTCTGATTGCTAGGTGGATCCTCGGGGTGGTAGAAGACTTAGCAGAGCCTGTCTGCCTCTCTCAGCCTTGGCAGTAGCCCCACAGAAATGAGGTGCTGAGTGACGGCTCCCCGGCACCCCAGCCCTCCTACACACTCTGTTCTGGCGTCTCTCAGGAACCAAATGTCCTGAGAGTATTTGCTGGTCATGATGTCCCAGCCTGACCTTGTGAGATCAGGCTGTCATGGCCCACTTCACAGATGGTCTGTCAAGTCCTGTACATGTTAAGATAGGCCCTGAACTGGTTCAGACCTGTATTCCTGTTTATCTGACCCTCATCACAGCTCTCAGATGGACTGTGTGGAGTGTGGGGACCTTCTGAGCAACAATACAGGAGACCCAGGAGACAACCAGTGTGGTTGCTCCCACCAGCCCCTCGCATTCACTCCAGTACTAAACATAGCTGGGTATTTGAAGCCTGAGGAGGTGGGGAGGGACATCAGGAGTCGTGGGAAAGATCACAGTGCTGAAAGGAGACGTGACTCCATGGTGCCATTCCAGCCAGGATGGCCACTAAATGCTTCCCAGAGCTAGTGGTCTAAAGAGGAGAGGGCTACCATAGACTGTTCACAGCATGCCATGGGGGAGCAGGTATGGGGCCCAGACTCGGGGGCTCCCCAGCCCCAGATACAAGGTTCTACCTGCTACAGAGTCCTCACCCCCACAGCCACCCCCGTTCACTGTCAGCACACCAGGCTCAGGTCCATGGTCACATAGCTAAGTAGAAGGCCTTGAGTAAAACCCTCTTTAAAGTATGTCACCCCACAGCCCCCCACCCCGCCTGTCCCCCAAAGTCAGAAGCTACTGGACTTTTATGAGGCTACTAAGGTGCAACTTCAGAGACCACACCAACATCTGCTGTTTGGGGACTGATGGTGTAAGAACACAGGCTATATCTCTGGCTGTCTCTCTCCTTCCCACACATGGCCTAGCCTCCTGCTCTCAGGGACTCCAACATTCTAAGGGCTTGGCACACACATTTCAGCTTCTCCTTTCGGGACAGCTCCACCTGCTCCTCGCCCAGGGTGGTGTCGATGGGCCGGAAGTAGGACATGATAGTCAGGAAGTCCTCGAAGTTGATCTCATCGGCCAGGCCACTGGGTCCCTTGCGCAGGTTCCTAAGAGGGCAGCCAGGGGAGGGAGGGCCTCAGTACATAAAAAGTAACTCTTGAGATGGCTTGGTGGGTAAAGGTGCCTGCTCTGTTGCCAAACCTGCTCACTGCCCCACAACCCACATGGTTAGAACTGACCCCTATAAACTTTCCACTGACCTCTATTTGTACAGCATACTGTGAAGTGTTCACACACACAAACATGCACTGTGCATACACACACACACACAAGCTCATGACAACATGGCCCTCTGCATACATAGTCCCAATAATCTCCCTCACTGCCTACCACAGTCCCCCCTTGCAGGGTTCATGCTCCACCAACTGGGCCCCAGCCTAGCTCAGTTACTTTCCATTGACAGCATCAAATGGCAGGCTCATCAGTTCAGATCAGGGCCCTCATCATCCATGCATCTCTAGAGCCCCCAAGTTGGGGATGGAATCATGCCTTTGGCACTTGAGCCAGTGAGGTATACCTCCTGTCCTCAGCCTTGGCCACATGTGGGAGGAGAGACTGACTCTGGCTTCCTGGCCCATAGAAGCCATGAGAAGTCAATACTGGGCTTGAGGCTGGGGGCAGATCCCAGTGGGCTTGCCTGCCGGAGAGCCTGGGGGTCCATCCCAGAATCATGGATAAAATGTATAGAGCCAGTCTGGGAGATAGTTCAGTAGGTGAGACGCTTGTCAGGTTTGACTGCGTTTGGTTGTGGTGTGTGCCTGTAATACCACTTCTGGGGAAGTGGAGGCAGGAGGAGCCCTCCTTTGGCTGGCTAGCCTAGCCAAATGGACAAGCTCTAGGCCAGTGAGAAGTCCTGTCTCAAAACAAGGGCAATACCTGAAAATACCAGCTAAGGTTGTCTTCTGGCCTCCACAAGTACATACACATGCACGTACACCTGTATACATGAGCATGTGCACACATACATGCATACCTACATACATGAACATGTGTGCGTGCACATACACCTACATGCATGAACATGTGCGCACATACATATATGCCTACATACATGAACATGTACATACGTGTATACCTGCATGCATGAGCATGTGCACACATACATGCATGTACACCTTCATATGTGAACACATGCACACCTGCATCCACAAACGTGCACATACACATACATGTACACCTGCACACATGAACATGGGCGTGCACACACAATGTAAAGAAAGTACATTGCTAACTTTGGAGTCATTTGTTACACAGCCAGCATAACTAACAGACGTGGAGGAGTCAGGAGAGCTGTCCAAAGCCACAGTGTTGTGGGATATCTGTACACTGTGTAAGCTGTACTGCTCTGATTGGTGTAATAAAAAGCTGAGTGGTCAATGGCTAGGCAGGAGGTATAGATGGGATTTCCAGGGAGAGGGAGAGAAGGAGGAGGGGATATCTAGGAAGCAGCATGGGCAGTACTGAGAGATGAGGCAATGAGCCACTCATCAAAAATGTAGATTAAAATAAACAGGTTAATTTAAGTATAAGGGCTGGTGGGAAAGCCTAAACTATAGGCCAGGCTTTCATAATTAAAAGATGTCTCCATGTCATTATCTGGGAGCTGGCTGGCAGGACAGAGAAAGATTCCTGACAACTCAGGATCCCTCCCCTCATTCTGTGTTTCATGATGGAAGAGGTGTCCCACCTCAGCCTGCCTAGGGTAGGGCACATACCTGTTGTCGAAGAAGGCACGAACGATTTTGGATCGGATTGGGTTGAGCTCCAGGTCAGGGACATTGTTGAAGTTCTCCTTGCTGTATTCCAGGAGGCACAGGAGAGAAAGTCACAAGACAGTGGTCATCAGTGGCATGGGACACAGGCAGCGTGGTGTCACTTTGTCCCCAACAGCCCCACCCTCTCCCCTCAGGCCTCTTGCCTACAGATTGGGTGAGGGTGGGAAGACTGAGGGAGCCTGTCACTTGGAAGAACCCGAGAGGTGGGTGGGACCCTCGTACTCAGGCTGCAGAGACAAGATCTGCAGAGTTCAGACAGGGAAGCCTTGGGGTGGCTTACCTGGGCTCCCAGCAGTAAGACACTGGCCTCAAGGGCCTCAAGGGAATGGAGTGTCTGAGAATTTCATGACCTGGCACCTCCTAGCATGTGCCCAAGAGAGGCAAGCACACAAAGGCAGTCTCCACAGGAACCACATGAGAACACAGAGGGGCCAACCAAATGTCTACTACCAGATAAAGTGATAGCTGGACTGCAGGCTGTCCACCCAGGGGAACATTACACAGCCAGGAAAAGAACTGGAACACTGATGCCCACTACAAGAGGATGAATCCTAAGACTGACCTTGCTGGAAAGACAATGGCAGTGAAAGGTCACTATTCCATTTGAATGATGTGTCTAGAACAGGCTGAGTCATTGGGGCAAAAAGCAGGAAAGGAGTGGCCCAGAGCTGGGTGAGCCAGAGGACCCCTAAGGGGACAGGTTTCTCTAGGATGACAAATATTCTGGATACATAACTCTGCAGAGATACTGACACTGCTGTGCATTTTAGTGACTGAGCTGTAAGGTGTGTGGGCTTCACTTCAGTAAAGACAAGAGACCCAGCAGCAGCCTGAGCAGGGTGCAGGAACATGTCCCATCTGCCTGCCTCACAGGAGGGGCCCAGCCTCTATTCAGGTTACCTGTGCCTGCTCCATGGCAGTGAGTTCCCAGGGACCTAGGGCACAGCCAGTTTCCAGGGGGCAAGAAAGACTGCTCCGGATGGGGAGGAGTCGGCTGATTAAAAATAACAACAACAACAACAAGACACACACACACACACCCTGAGGACATTAGTGGGGAACGTGACACTGGAATAGACTGGGGCAGGGAGCTGAGACTGTTTGAGTTGGGAGATTCCACAAACAGTCCCTTGTCCCATACTGGCTTCACCTCACAGGAGAGAGGCCTCTGGCTCCAAACACAAGCAGAAACAGGTGACCGGATCTCTCCTGTTCTCACCACCCCTGGGTGGCTTCCTGCCTCTCCCTTGTGGCCCGACTGGTGGCATCTAGCCAAACAGGAGCTGGTGACTGGGCACAGCCACCTTCTACATTCACCAGAGCCCAGTCTGGGAGAAAAACACACTTTGGACAGTTCTCTCATTGTGGTGGGTGCCACTATATGACCAAAAAGTAGGATTTGAGGCAGGATGGGTGGAAAAGAAATGGAGGGACTGGTGAGATGGCTGAGCCAGTAAAAGCACATGTGTGCAAACCTGGAGGCCAGAGTTCAATCCCAGAACCAGCATAAATGTGGAAGGAGAGAACTGACTCCACTAAGTTTTGTGGACACACAGTAACACTTTTAAAAAGGAAAGAAGTTAAGTGGGTCAAATCTGCAGTCCCAGGTACCTGAGAAGCAGCAGCATGGTGGTACGTGCCTGGGATCCTAGTGTGGAGGAGGCTGAGGCAGGAGGATCACAAGTTTAAGGCCATTCTGGGCTGCACAGACTCTGCCTGCTGACAACCTAACCAAACAAGGGAATGAAGCAAGGACACACGCTGCCACTGCCACCAAGCCTCAAGAACATCATGCTCAGGATGGAAGCCAGCACAGAGCCTGGTTTCCAGGGTGATAGGGGTGGGTGTCATTCTTGGATGCTTAAAGTGACAGTGCAGCTTAAATGGCTGGATGGATGGGAATGAGTGCTCCCCAAACTACTAAAAACTTTCCCCTGCTTTTGTTAAAAACCGCAGCACCGTCCATTTCTACAGAGGGAATTTCCACACAAGACAACCGCTAACTGCCCTTACAATGGCAACCCAGAGAGAACACAGGGAGCCTCAGGGCCAGACACACAAGGGCTCTCTGTCCCTGCCCCCACATAGTTGCTAGCCTCCAACAACCACAGGAGGAAGCAAGAGAAACCAGAACCCTGGACAGAAGCAGTCAAGGTTACCACGGAGACGATCAGATCATCAGAGCCCCCCCCCCCCCCGCCTCCTTGCTGGTCACTGCTCATATGACAGTCACAGTAGCTCTGTGAGCTGTGTGGCCTGCAGCATGTACCTCACCTGGGGGAGACCTGACATACCAGGGCTCCTATGATTTCCTGAAGTAACAGGTGTCCCCTGCCCAGGCTCGCCCAGCTTGGGGAGTCACACTGGGACCCAGGCAGGGCAAAGTCACACTCATACATCTGGCACTGCCCTGCCCACTCTCCTTGATCTCCATCTCTACAGGTGTCTGCCAGACATACACTCCTGTCCCACCCACCCCTCACCTCAGGCACCTGCTTCTGTGAGGGTCAGTCTCCTCATCTGTGAGATGGGTGCAGACCTAACACTTCCTCTGTACTAACATGATGGGGTAAAATACAGGGGCTGTGGCTGCCAACCCAGGCTCCTTCCTCTATAACACATGGTTTTGGGGGAGAGGGTGCCCCCCCACCCCAGTTTCAGATGTCCCAGTTGTAAGGTAGGAATACTCAGGACACTGGAATGGGGGTGTCACACACGAACACAGTGGGAACAGAGATACTGCAGCAGCAGTAAAGCAATGTTAATCATGGTGGACCATGATTGCAGCGGTGGACCAAGATCCTTTCAGTGACAGCGACCAGTGCAGCCCTCCCAAGGTGGAAGGTCCCACCCCAGTGACAATGCCATGGAGGGCAGGCACTTAACCCATTTTAGAGACCAACAAGGCAGAGAGGGGGAGAAACACCTTCCTAGCCAGGAGTGGTAGCACCTGTTATCCCAGGTACTCAGGAAGCTAAGGCAGGAGCATTGTGAGTTTGAAGCTAGCCCTACACAGATGAACAACCCCACCCCCACACCCAAAAGTAGAAAAAGGGCTGGAGGCCCCCAAAAAAGAGGTGGGGAAAAAGAAGGAGCCCAGGGACAGTGGCTATAGCCCAGGGGTGATGTCCTGGCCTTGGTCTGGAAGCAGTCACAAGAAATAGGACTGGTCCGTCTGGTACCCAGAGACCCCTGGCTTCTGCCGCCCCTACTCTGAAAAAGAGAAGGCAAGCTTGGTGCTCGAGCTGGGCCAGGCCAAGCTGAGTGGCCTCGGGGTCTCTGTCTCATGTCTGTCAGGCCCTCACGGAACTTCCTGAAAGGATTCTGCTCCACCATGGACCTCCTGGATGCTATCAGGGTCACTGCCCTTGCATTTACCATCAGTCCAGCACTGCTGCCCTAGTGGCCAGCAAGGAGAAGGGCCACAGAAAGCCCCAAGAGACACCCATCTTCCATGCCTCTTCCAGGGCAGCTTGAAGTTGGGGAGGGGGATGGTTTATACCATCTCGCCAAGTTCTGAAGTGCCCTCCCCATGCCAGGCCACTCACTGGGAAGCTCAATAACCCTCGAACCTACAAGTTGGGACAGTGATGGGACCACTTTCATTGACAAGAATACGGAGCCCAGAGAGGCCAAGCCAGTAAGCTGTAGTCACACAGCCAGCTAGCAGAAGCACTCTGGCCCCAGGGAGCACACCCCCCTTCCTCCAGGCTGTGCCTTTTGGCTTTGGAGAGAATCAGAGCTCTACGGGCACCCACTCCTGCCAAGTTCCAGCTGAGATTCCCTGGGGACTCCCAAAGAGGGTAGGATAAGCATCCAGCTTACAAAAGGACACACAAAACCCCAAGAAAACCACCGAGGACCGGGCTGGCCTCTTCTGCAAGCCCAGTGCTATGGGCTAGTTTCCGGTGGCTTCTGAGGCCCAGCTCAGCTGCCAAGGTCACTCTGGTAGACCTCAGTGCAGAGCTCACAGTGAGCTCACAGAGCGAGCTTACAGTTTTCCCATACTGGGGAAAGTGAGGCCTCATGGGGACTCTTTAGGGAAGGGACCATGTCTCACAAGGCAAATGTCTTCCCGGGCACTGCTGGACACAAATCTGAGGATGGGAGAGGATACTGGGGTTGAAGCTGAGTGGGACAGGCAGAGGGATTAGAGGAAAAGACAGCATCCCAGACTCTGGGTAGAACTGGACACTTTCTGATGGACCAGAAGCAAGAGAGATAGACAGACACACCACAGGGCAGCTCTGGATGGGGGCGGGATGGGGTCAGCAGAAAAGGAAGCTGCTGTTCACTATGACTAAGGAGCAGCTGGGAGGGGTGGCTCACCTTGGGACACAAAGTGGATGTGTGGCTACAGTGTGCTGTGGCATCTGGGCTGAGGCCCTGGTCAGGCACACAAACATGCAGGAAGCATTTCAAGTCATAACCTCTCTGGGAAAGTTGGGGGTAAGAGCCTCCCTGATAACCCAGCTGGAGTCTACTCTCCCCACTACAGCCCCGATTGGTCACACTGTTCATGATACACAATAGTTTAGCTTAGATGCCATAAACTTCTTGGGGAGTCCCCGGACACCTGCTGTGTGAGCACCCATGTGGGATGAGGAGGTGACAGAAGGTGACTATTAACTATGTTAAGAGCGAGGGTTCTGTCTGCCTATAGTATGGGGGTCCCTCAACACCCACTCACACCTTACAACCTGACAGCCCCCCCCACTGATCCCAGACTCACCTCTGTGCAGACAGGACCTCTCTCTGTGGCACCCCCTCCCTTACAGGACTCAGGACTCCTACACCCTCCAAGCAGATCAACCAGACTGCTCTGCATTTCAGGTGGGGCGCAATAACCTGGTCCATTTGCCAAATGCCTGGGAACCAGCTGTGTGCATCTGCAAGCCTATTACTCAGATTCAAGCTAAAGCGGCAGCCTGCTTTACGCAGAAGGCTGTAAACGGCGTGGGAGGGTGGAGGTGGGGGGACTGGCCAAAGCACACAGCCAAGAGCTTGAGGTTTGTCTCCCAGGTTTCTCACCTGCACCTCAATTCTTAAGAGATGGGATTTGATCCAAAGCCTTCACCAGGTAAGGCTGGGTCTGACTCCAAAGCCTACCCTTTCTCATTCAGCAAGGCAAACAGTTCATTTCTGGTCCCTGGCCACGAGAATTGGCTCCAACTCAGGTGCCTGAGCCTCTGAGAGCCAGTGAGAAGCCAGGCAACTTCATGGGCTTACAGGGCAGGATGGCTGGCTGCTCTGCACAGGTCAACCCTGTCTTTGATGGAGTGTGGGGCAAATTAAATGGAGACCAGAGGCCACAGAATCATGAGACCATGGGAACCTTCCGGGCGCCACTCTAAGTTAATAATGTGCCTTTGTGTAAGAGGCAAGAAAACTTGCGTGTGCACACAGCTCCCTCAGAGGAGGAAATGAAGCCATCTATGAAGAAGGAAGCTTTCCTGGGGCCTGTGCAAGGCTTGCATCAGTGTTTTGATGATGTCACCTGGAGACCCTATGCATAATTTAGGACACTACTGTCTGGTAGAAAGTTTGTAACAGAAGTCTGTTCATGTTGCAGGGTCTGTAGCTCCCACCTGTCATTCCAGCTACTGAGCAGGCAGGAGGAAAGCAAGTGAGCCCAAGGCCAGCCTGGGCTACAGAGTGAGCCCAAGGCCAGCCTGGGTAATTTAATGTGACACAGCTAAGGGGAAAAGGGAAAAACAAAGAGGGCTGGGTCTGTAGACCAGGGTGAAGTGCCTGCCTAGCAGGTACAGGGCAGTGTTCATCTCCAGTACTAAAAAAAAAGAAGCCCACAGTGGAAAACATCAACTTCTCTAACAGAAAGTAGACCCTGCCACCCATCTCATCTTGTCCAAGATTGGAATGGCACAGTGGAATTAAAGTCTAGAGATAGGCTCAGCAGGGTGATGCCTGCACCCCGGGGAACACAGCTCTAACAGCTGGCTTTCACACTCCAGCACCAGGAAGGATCCGGCAGGTGATCAGTGTGGGGGCGGGGGGGGGGAGGGGGTCAGAACAGGTCCAGATCTTTGCATGAAGCAGTTGGGCAGGGCTGGGTGGCTTTTTCCTCCCCTCCCTGGCTTCCCCCACAGGTGTCTGATCCTGTAAGAAACAGAAAAGGCCCCTTTCTCCCCCCACAGCTTGTCTTAGAAAGACCTAGGAGAATCCAAACAACGGGTTTGCTTCAGAAACTGGGACAGCCCTTGGAGCCAGCCAGCCCAGAGCCACGTGTACCCAGGGAAAGAGATAAGGGGCAGAAAATAACTGCAAACCCTGCCTGGCCGAGCATCTTACCGAATAGTGGGCTGGTCCCCGCTCAGCTGCTTGAACCTCCGGTGCAGTTGTTCGATCTGATCCGAGGAGACTGGGGGGGGGGTGGAAATGGGAGAAAGAAAAAAATGAGAGAGAAACAGAGATCACTGACATTGAACTTGAGGTGGCTTGAGGCTGCAGTATTCTTTGGTTTCCTCCTCACTTGGCCACTGCCACCCCTCTTGTGACATTGTGACATCCCCCTTGACCACATTGAACCACAACTGAGGGATATAGAAGAACCTCCCTTTCTGCCTGCTGGGGCAGCTCTGGGGTCATCATAGACTCCCTTAGCAAGACAGTGGCTGTTTGTGAGTGCCAGCCCCTGATGGTGGGCCAGGCCAGCAACTCCCACAGGCATTGTCCTTCCACCACAGAGGAACTTGTACTTGCCTGTTTGCCCACCCCACCCCATCCCCATCCCCATTATCCTGTACCCTATCTGCCTGTGAGGCTTGTCTTGGCTGGGAGAAGGCAAGGTGGAGAGAGCAGAAAGAGAAGGGAGAAAGTAGGCCTGGAAGGAGAGAAAGTCCCCAAGACACACAATGTCTCTGGTGTAGAGAGAGTGGTGAGTGACCAAAGGGGACCCATGCAGTCATCTCCAGCTTTACTCTTGCTGGCTGAAGATAACAACACTAGCAATTGGGAGATCTGGGATACAATCTAAAGCATGCCCTTCCCCCATGGGATGTCACCTATGTAACTCCAGGTGCTTGATGTACTCAGGGCCTTCAAGTACTCCTGGGGACCACATCCAGTTCAGGCCAAACTTGCCAATGCAGTGACTGGGTTGGGGACCTGCCATACACACCTGCAATCACCTCATCTCCTCCCTCCCCACCCCACCTCTCATTCTAGAAGCTGTGAATACCTGAGACCTAATGCCCACCTTCACACCCCCCACCATGTCTCGAGTCTTCTTCCTCTCCAACCTCAGGCTCAAGCCTTGGTTTACTCAAGAATCCACCACCCAGGGCTCTCAAGCATCCCCAGCAGCTGCCGCTCACCAGGGAAGACTAGGGAAGGCTGCCAACCTGGGCCAGGCACCACTTGAGAGATTAGCTCATCCATCCCACACAGCACAGACGGGCAGGGCTGCATCGCCACACTGCACATGTAGTCACGAACAATCAGAAAGGCTGATATCCAGGACAATAGCTACCTTTCTAGAGAAAAATACAGCCACAGACAGGACGGGCAAGATAGCAAGGGAGCCGACCAGGGTCCCGCACCCAGTATGCTCATGACAGAAACAAGGATGAACAGAGCACGCTTTCGGCCTTGTGGCTGGGCAGTATGAATCATTATGAATTGGAAACTACCCAGGGCAGGACAGCTGAAGTACAAAAGGGCGATGCAGCCCACGGATAGGGTTGTATACAGTAATGAAAACGAGCACCATATGTAACACAGACCCAAAAGAAGCCAGGCATGACAAGGAACGCACTTCACAATTTCACCTGGGCAAAGCTCATACTTGGGAAACACGTATCTACAGTGTTAGATGTCAGGGCAGTGGTTGTCCCCTGGGGTCAGAGTAATATGAATGGAGTATGAGGAGGGCCCTGGGGGCAGAGAATATTCTATATCTTGATGTAGGCACAAGTGACACAGTGGTCCCCTTGGAAGGCATAGAGCTTCATGTTTTGGGTGTAGCACATTTTTTTTTTTTGGAATAGGGTCTCATGTAGCCCAGGCTACCCTTAAATTTACTATGTAGCAAAAGACAAGCTTGAATTCCTGATCCCCGGCCTCCACCTCCTGAACACAGGGATTATGAGTGTGTGCCAACACACCCAAGTTATTAGGAGCTGGGGACAGAAGAACCCAGCGCCCTAGGTGCTTCAGGTGAGTACCCTACCCATTGAGCTATACTCCCAGCCCAGGGGTAGAAGGCTTTCTGGTCTCTGTGATTCACAAAAAACAAAAACAAAACAAAACAAAACAAAACAAAAAAAAAAACCCTTTACCCACCAACTTCAGTAATGCCCCTGGGGTGGAACCGATCCTGAGAGTAAGAATCCAACAGGTGCAGAGAGCATGCGCAGGCATCTGCATCCCTGTCACAGTCTAGCTGCTCTCACCCAGCAGCCCTCACAGAAACTCTCGGGAAGGACCAGAAGTGCTTCTGATTTGGGACTGTTTTCAAAACATCTGTCTGCATTAAATCTGTATTTGCTATGTCTGTGGCTGGTCTGGGTCCCCAGGCTAAGCCTGAAGTGTGCCCAAGCAATCCTCCTGCCTCAGCCTCCAGAGAAGCTACAACTGAAAATCCTGCAGCATCTCGAGCCATTTCTTCAGCATGGCTACTGGAAAGCGTAGAATTAGGTTACACCACAATTACTAGAAAACTTAGGTTTATTCTGATTCATGTGACATCTGTACCAGATGACAGTATACACACCCTTCCAATCAGCAATCCGATTCCTAGGAGAAACCCAAGGAACAAGGAGTGTACAGAGGTGGTCACAGGAAGCTTGCCTGCCTAGTAATAAAATAACCACACCATGGAGAAAATGCCAAGCCCCAGGAAACCACAATTGTCTTGGGACATCCTTGAGGGGGAATACCACACAGCCTTAAAAACATACTTGAGACAGAGTCTTATGTATCCCAGGCTGGCCCTGAATGCTCTATGTAGTTGAAGATGATAATCTTGCCTCCACCACCCAAGTGCTGGGACTACAGGCATGCACTGTCATACCTGGCTTATATGCTATGTGAACCCAGGGTTTCGTGCATGCCAAGCAAGCACTCTATGAACTGAACCACATCTCCAGCCCTTGAAAAACCATTTTGAAGTAGTGAGAGTCAACATTTAATGTCCCCGGCCTGTTATCAAGGGGACAATCCAACAAGCCAAGATGATACCTGCTGTGAAGTTCACATTGAAGGCACATGATTGAACCGGATAGAGCAATCAGCAACTGGGACTGGAGGCTTGCCTGTGCTTTCCAGTTTTGCACCATACAGTGCGTAGGCATCAGCCATAACAACATTTCCCTGCACACGGCACAGTCCATATGGGATAGCAGACCTTCTCAAGAATATTAATGAGTCATCCTTGGCTCAGTGCCATTGTCCGTGCACATGTGACCTTATGAAGGACACACATCCCTTTCCCTTTCTCCCTCCCTTTTTGGACAGACTCTCATGAAGCCCAGGCTAGCCTCCAACTCATATAGCCAAAGATAACCTTGAGTTCTGCTCTTCACTTATGGTGGGGATTGAACTCAGGGCCTCAGGCATGCTAGGGAAATTGCTCTACCAGAGCCATAGCCCCAGCTCCTCAGCCTATGCCATTTGTTTGTTTGAAATGGGGTCTTCCTGTGTTGCTCTGGCTGTACTAGAACTCACTGTAAAGGCCAGGCTGGCCTCAAACTCACAGAGATCCACCTGCTTCTGCCTCCTGAGTGCTGGGATCAAAGGTGTGTGCCACCATGCCTCTACTTCTGATAAGCATAAATTGCGAATTGTGCTACCTGGAGTTTCTAATAACCAGTGACCCACATCCAGATGAAATTAATTTTAGTAATAGATTTTTCCTTAGTCCACAATATCTAAAATACTACTGTGTCAACATGTAACCCACATAAAAGTAATAAGGCTTTAGAATTCTGCTTCTCACATCTCACTGGGAAGAAAGAGTAATGTTCCCAACCCCAGGGAAGGGGCAAGGGGGGGATGTCTAATAGGGGTCCATTCAGCCTGAGACATGAGGCATGGGAGGGCATGGTGGCAAAGGACATGGCAATAGCTTTGATGAGTCAGGGACCCAGGGCTCCTGGGAAGGTGGGGGCAGTGGGAATGGCTGGGTGTGCCACGCTGGCTTCATCCACTGGGACAAGGTTTAGAGTCTTGTGCTTTCAGGAACATAAGACTCCAAGCCAGGGCAGAGACCGTCACCCCCGGCAAGATAAGACAGAAAGTAGACACAGAGAGGGCTGGCAACAGCTGGGAGCCAGCAACTGCAGTAGACCTGGTAAGAAGAGTGGAGCTTGGACACAGGACAGTTAAATGGGACAGTGGGACTTGTATTTGCTCTCTTCAGGCTCCCTAAGCCTTCTTGCCTCCTGTCCTCAGCAGCCACACCCACCTGAATATGAATGCTTGACACCCAGGGACACACTAAGTAGGATCTAGGGACTTTCAAGGTACCCAGAGCTCTGTGGCTCACCATCCCAACAGAAGGGCCAGGACCCTGCAGACACCTCACCTCCCCAGGTGCAGAGTACACAGGCGGCACAGGCGGGCAGCTCTGTGGCTTTGAGAGGTGGCTTTGAGCTGCTCCTTAAGCACCATTCTGCCTCCTCCTGATAGAACAATAACACCTCCCACCCCCTAGGAGGTGGCTCCCATAGTGACAAGCCATCCTAGTCACAAATGCTATTCACAGCTCTCCAAGGTGAAAACAGCTATGTCTCCAGTGGATGACACACTGCATGAAAGAGGAGAAATCCACAGACGAAATCCTGTGAACAGTCAAAAGAGAGGCTGTTGTGGCCCTCACTGGTGCAGTGGGACAATGACAACAGTGCACCCAGCAAGCAGCAAGGCCACCTGGTCCACATGCCTGTAATGTCAAGCACCCAGCCAGGTGAGTCCATGGAAGTGGAACATGGACTCTTGCTGGACAAGGGCCAGGAGGAGAGGGTAAAGATGGGTAACAGGTGGGCACGGGGTTTAATTGGGGGTGATGGGATGTTATGGAAATTGAGATTTACAACACTAAATGCAAAGAACCCAACCAAGGTGCTCACTTCACAGCAGTTGAAGAGTGTGTGTGTGTGTGTGTGTGTGTGAAGGGGGTGAGGTCAACACCTGATGTCTTCCTGTCACTCTCTACCTTGTTTTTGAGCTAGTGTCTCTCACTGTATCTCAGCTCACAGATTCATATGGAATGGCCAGAGAGCCCCAGGGCTCCTCCCCAGCTCTGGGATAAGATGTTACTACTTTTTACATGGGTGCGAGGGATTGAACTTGGGTCCTCATACTCACAGGTCACATTACCAACTGAGCCATCTCCCCAGTCCTAAAATGGTAAATTTTATA